AGGCCGTGGAGGACCTTGAGGGTCAACTGCTGGACCGAGCGTCTGCTATTGCGAAGGAGCTTAAGCAGGAGCTTCGAAATCCACTTGATCCGCGTCCGTTGGGAATTCCTTTGGGGTGTCTTCCGCTTGACCATGACGAACGCTTTCACGCTCTGGAGGACGGCTATCGCGAGCTTGGCGCTGACCCTGGCAACAGGGGCAAAAAGGATGAAATTATTGATCAGCTGAATGAGCGAGCGCTTGAGCTGGCACAAGAAATGCATGACAGGGAGCGCAGTGTCTTGGATCAGTACCCCGAGGGTGTTCCGCTATCGGCACTCCCGTTAAACAACGATGAGGAATTTACTGCGTTAGAGACTGAGACTCGTGCGCTTCGGAGCTCCCCAATCAGCCGGGGCAGGGCTTTAGCACGGCTGAAGGAGCTAGAGGATGCGATGAATCGGCGTGCAGCAGAGCTAGCCAATGATTCTCGCAAGGCGTTTTGTGATCCCGAGCCCGAGGGTATTCCTTTAACTTTGCTAGGACTTGGAGCCGATGAAGAATTTGCAAGGATGGAGGAGGAGCTTCGGTACCTTCGAAAGGATCCGGACGCGAACAAGGAAACCATCAAAAATATTGAGTTTGACCTGAACAACCGAGCGCATGAGGTTGCGAAAGGGATGCTGGAGGAAGATCGCGGCTACTTGGTCTCCGATTTGTGCGGTGTGCCGCTTTCTGCGCTGCCAATTGGTAGTGACCCGACATTTAAAGCGTTGGAGGTGCAGCGCGCGAAGCTCAGGGCAACGGACGGGCTCCGCGATGCCCGTAAAATCAGGGATCTTGAAGAGAAACTAAATGAACGTCTAAGGATACTTGCCGAGGAGCAGAAGGCGGAAGACCTCTCCGGTATTGACAGAGAACCCGAGGGCGTCCCGCTAAGCCACCTGATGCTACACGAAGATGATGCCTTTGTTGCCATGGTGGACGAGATTCGTAAGCTAAAGAAGGATCCAAAGAGGAACATAGAGGCTATTGAAGACATGCGGGATCAGATGAATGACCGCGCCCATGAGATAGCGCAGGAAAAGTTAAGAGCGGACCGTGCATTTCTTGACAAGAATCCCCAGGGCGTTCCATTGGACATCCTTCCGCTGAAAACGGATCCCAAGTTCCGCAAACTAGAGGCCGAGCGTGCGAAGCTAAAGGCACAGGACCTCCGGCGCAATGCGGGCAGGATTCGTGATTTGGAGGCTCAGCTTAACGATCGCGTCAATGACTTGGCAACGGAAGAAAAGAACGATGCTTTAAAGTCTCTTGATCAAGTACCGCTTGGGTTGCCAATTGCTTTGCTTCACCCGCACGATGATCTAGAGCTTGGGGATCTGATTTCAAATCTTTGGGACTTAAATAAGCATCCGGGCGCCACAAGTGAAGAGAAGGATAATCTGCAACGCCATATGAATGATCGGTTGCTTGAAATGGCGGCGGCTTATCTGGAGCATGACCGCAGATATCTAGAGGGGAATCCCTCTGGTGTTCCACTGGAGTTGTTGCCCCTTACTTCCGATCCAGGATTTCACACATTGGAGGTCCAGCGGGCGATATTGAAAGAGAAAGATCCACGTCGAAATTTAGCAAGGATTGCAGATTTGGAGAAAAAGTTGAACGAGCGCGCGTCACAGCTTGCAGAAGACCGAAAGCGTCAGGAATTGGAAGGTCTTGACAGAGAACCCGAGGGTATTCCACTGAGTGCCCTTGATCCTCACAGTAACCGTGAATTTGCCTTCCTTGTGGACCAGCTGCGAAAAATGCCTAATCGCTCTGACGAGGACCCCAGAGTGGCACAGCTGAAGGACGAAATGAACGCACTTGCTCACGTTATAGCAACGGAAATGAAGCTAAATGACCGTGCATTTCTTGACAAGAATCCCCAGGGTGTTCCCTTGGACATCCTTCCGCTGGACACGGATCCCAAGTTCCGCAAACTAGAGGCCGAGCGCGCGAAGCTAAAGGCGCAGGATCCCCGGCGCAATGGGAGGCTGATATTAGACCTGGAAAACGCAATGGCCGATCGTTGTCATGAACTTGCTGCTGATCAGCTGCGTGAGGACCTGACTGGTGTTGATGTGCTGCCTCGTGATATACCCCTTGAATTGCTTCTGCCTCACAGCGACCCGACGTTTTCGGCGTTGGTGGATGACCTTCGGGCTCTGAAAAAGGACCCCGAGGAGAACGCGGATGCCATCGAGACGGTCCTCTGTGCGATGAATGATCGTGCAGACGATTTGGCGGCAGCACAGCTTGACCGTGGTTTCTTGAACCAAGCCCCTGCGGGTGTTCCTCTGGAGATTCTGCCGCTGGACTCAGATGCCGAATTCCATTCGATGGAGACGGCACGTGTGAAGCTTAAGCTGAGTGATCCCCGGCGTAACGCGAAGAAGATTAGGGACCTCGAGGAAGAAATGAACGCTCGGGCGCATGAGCTGGCGAAGGACCAACTTGCGGAAGACCTTGCTGGAGTGGATGCTGCGCCGGAGGGTATTCCCTTGTCACTGCTAAAGTTGACGGAAGACGGGGTCTTTGCGTCAATGGTTCCGTGGCTGCGTGAGCTGAAAAAGGATCCTGAGGCAAATGCTGAGCAAATCCGAAACTTGGAGGACAAGATGAACAACCGAGCGTACGAGCTTGCTGATGCGCTGTTAGAGGGTGATCGCGGTTATCTGGACGGCGCGCCAGAGGGCGTACCGCTTGAGGAGCTCCCGTTAACAAATGACGATGTCTTTGCCTTGATGGAGGTGGAGCGTGCGAAGCTTAAGGCGCAAGATCCAAAGCGTAATGCTGCAAGGGTGGCAGAATTGGAGTTGCAGTTAAATGAGATGGCAGCCAAGCTTGCGAGGAATGTTCTTGCGGAAGACCTCAAAGGCTTTGCCAGCCAGTACGAGGGGGTTGCTACGGAGCAACTGAAGCCCCACAACGACCGAGAGTTTGCTTCTTTGGTGCCGGAGCTTCGTCGTCTAAAGAAGGAGGGCCCGAAGAATGTACTTCGGAATCACATGGAGGAAATGGACAACCGTATCCGTGAGATTGCGAAGGAATTTTTGGATGGCGATCTTTGGTTCCTTGACAAGGTGCCTGAGGGCGTGCCGCTGGAGTACGTGCCGCTGGCGGGTGACGAGAAGTTTGAGGAATTGCGTCATGAGCGAGCGGCACTCAAGGCGGATGAGCCACGGAAAAATGCTGATCGCATCAAGGAGTGCGAGGATGCCATGAAAAAGAGGTCCCATGAGCTTGCTCGAGATGTGAGGGAAAGGGACCTTGACGGAATCGAAAGGAAGCCGTACGACATTCCACTGGATTGTCTGCCGCTTCGCGAGGACCCCGTCGCCTCCAAACTTATTTCAAGGCTGCGTGAGGCGAAGAAAGGCGTGGGCAGCCCCGCAGGGAAGGGGGCAGTTTCCAAACTTCAGGATGAGTTGGGCGAGCGCGCGCGTGGGCTTGCGTGGGACGCGCTTGCTGGTGACCGCGGGAAATACCTGGATAATAATCTTGAGGGCGTTTCCTTGAGCTGCCTTCCACTGGACACGGACCCTCAGTTCCACGGCCTGGAGGTGGAACGCGCGCAATTAAAGCTTGCGGATCCTCGAGGGAATGCGAAGAGGATTGAGGATGCTGAGGAACGGCTCAATGACCGCGCCCGTGAACTGGCACGGAAGCAACTAGAGGATGATATTGCTGGTTTGGACCTGTCGTCCGTAGACATGCCAATGGACGTGTTGCGTCCGCACCGTGACGCAGAGTTTACCGACGCTGCTGTGAAGCTTCGCGAACTGAAAAAGGATCCGCGCAGAAACGAGAAAAAGATAAGGGATTTGGAAAAGGGCATGAGCGAACGTGTTGGAGAGCTTATGCGGGAGGTGCTGGAGGGAGATCGCGCGTTTCTCGATCCGGATCCTGATGGCGTTCCTCTCTCCGACCTTCCAATCAACGAGGACCAAACCTTTCGTGCGAAGGAGGTGAAGCACGCGGAACTAAAGGCGAGGGATCCCGTCAAGCATGCTGATGCGATTGCGGCGCTAGAGAACGAGTTGAACCAACGCGCGCATGAGTTGGCCTTGGATCAGCTCAAAGAGGATCTTCGGGACCTGGACGATACACCGCAGGGCGTTCCG